GAAGATTACAATTGAAATGGGTAAAGGAAATACAAAAATCTAACTTCTCTATCCAAAACTATGTCTTCCTCCTTGAGCTTCTCTCTCTATATTGCCAAACAATTCTGTGTAATTTGAAGTGTGTTTAGCATTTTCGTCCATGGAGGTCTCCTAGGCTGTCTGAAAGGCTTCCCATCCATAAGGGGTTGAGTTGATGGCTTGGACAACTCCCCAAGCTTCCCCCTTCTCTCTCTTCCTCATAAATGCTTGGGCCTCCAAAGTCCAACTTAGGTGTAGGGAGGCATATATGTGTGTAAGGGATGTTAGGGGACAAGTAGGAGAATCATAGGTGGGACCTCTAAGTGGCAGAGCTTGAGTTGCAGGTTATCTGACAAATCTGGGTAAAACCTTCGGGAAGGTCGATGCAAAGCTTCTAGAAAGTTTTTACAAGGTAATTAGAAAAAGCTGTCCAGTGACCTAAACTTTCTGGAAGGTCGATGCAAACCTTCCTGAAGGTTTATTCTAATAGGCAAAACCTTCCGAAAGGTTTTGGCAAGGCATAAGCAGACCAAGTGCAAATCTTCCAGAAGGTTTTCATCCAAGTTGTCTTTTTTCTTGGTTTCTTCACTTTCCAATCCTTCCTTTAAGCTAACCCCTCATCTCCATTGTCTTTAAGCACTCTGATGGGGGCTTAACTCAAGTCATTTACAACTTTTCACCTACATTCACACAAAACTTCATTAAAAGGTAGATTAAATGCATTTCTCCACAAATTCACAATAAAAGAAAGTACAAAAGGTTATAAAAAGCATACAAAATATGCAATGTTTTGTGCTAATTATTGAGTTGCATGTGTGAGTCTCATTTCATTACATGGAATGACATAGAGAATTCCATTATGAATTGCATATGCTTAAATGGATTGGTTGTTGATTGTTAAATTGCATGTGAGCATTTTATGTGTATCTAGGTTGGGGAGTAGCCTCTTTAAGAAATACCATATGGTGCATGGCTCACCCTTTATTGGGATAACATTTTAGGTGCGGAACAAGTGGTGGCGGATGGCTCTCACATGGGCTCTCATTGAGGAAGAAAAGTTGGGATTTGGCTTTAAATTACATTTTTGTAAAACAAAAATGTAATTTAGTTTTGGACATGTAATATTGTGTAAAAGATTGTAAGACAAACTTGTGTGGACTACGTTTTGTATAAAATTGTATGTTATATGAGTTTGGGTTGTAGTTGTATGAGATTGGAAGAGTTGGAATTGAAAAAGGATCAAATCGGGGAAAAATTGGGGTGATCTACCAGTAGATGTTTTATAGTGAGCTCTTCTACCGATAGAACACTGATCTTCTATAGGTAGAAGTTTTTCAGTGAGTTTTCCTACAGGTAGAACATGGCTTTTCTACCGGTAGGTCTCCTTTAATTTTTAGAAAATTAAAATTCTTCCGTTAAGCCTAGGGGCCTTAAGTCCTTTTGTTTCAAGGATGTAAATTGAGTAAAATCAAGCATAAATTGATGTATATTGGACCTTGGAATGGTCATGTGATAAAAATGTACACAGTTTATTCGTTTGGGAGTGCCCGATACAAGGGAGACTTTACACAAATGTTGTGTTGTTCATAATCCCGATGAAGGGGATGTTATTGTCGTGGTGCCAAGTTATGTGGCATTCACGTATCTTTTTGTTGGTTGATGGAGAATCGTGTTGACAAAGGACCCCCGATTTTAAGGGCGTCACAACACAAAATAATTAATGTGAAAATCCTTCTCAGAAAATCAATTACAAGGTCAAAGACTTGTATCTCAATTAAGTTCATAGTCAGACGCTTTCTTCCTCAAGTCTTGCCGTTCAGATTCATCACTTCAACGTAACATTACTATGGGTTTTGTGGTTCTACAAGGTTTTTTTTTCTTCAAAGTTTTGAAGGAGTAGCATGGGATCAATCTATGTAAATTTTGGCCTTCTAATGCTTAGGTTTGACCAGGGTTTGTTTTTTTTCTCTCTAGATGATAGTTGTAGCATTTAGAGGTTTACCCTAAGAACCCTAGTGAAAGAAGACATGCCTATAAATATAGGCCTTGTAGCGTTTAATAGAGACCCAAGAAAACTAAGATTCACAAGGAACTGTTGGACCTATGAGAGGGTGGTCATCTGACGGTGCTCATTGGAATGCAAAAAAAAGAAAAGAAAAATAGCCCCTCTTGAATAGGAAGCACTCGAGTTGTCTAGCAAACAGCTCGAGCGGTTAGCCAATAGCCAAAGAGCGGCCTCCGCTGTCCGATGAGCTTGTAGCGAATTTTTCCTGAGTGTTCAAAATCACTTAAGTCGTAGACCAATGAGTTTCCAACGGTCCCTATTGTTTTTTAAGCCTAAAACCAAGAAAAATCTTTCCCTATTAAGCACCAAGGGGTGTTACTCAACAAATGTTCAATCCATGACTCATTCTATGTTGTCAAAACAAAATTTAAAGTTTAAAAAATATTTTTGTTAGATTATATTTTATAATTGGCTAATTTTGTGGAGTCCATTGTAAATTTGAACATTTTCTATAGTTATAATGCTATCAAGTTAAAGATCCAAAAATGTCATTCAAGGTAGGAGATCAAGCATTAAAGCAACATGATTCAAACTCCATATATAGCTTCATGCTTAGGAAAAAAGTAATGACCTACACACCTAAGATGAACCCTCAGTTACTTTTAATTTAGGTTGATTGGATGAGAATAGAATTGAAAGCAATCAGAGTATGACTCCTAGATGTTTTGAAAAGAAAATTTTTTCTAAACCATTTTGTATATGGAAAACATAAATTGAGCCATTATCGGACCCCTGTTGAGCAACTCCCTTTAGTGCTCAAGAGGACAATTTTTTTGCTTTGTTTTATTCTTTAAAAATCAATAGAGATCGATCTATGTTTCCCAGTCTTCACTAGAGCAATCTCTTCATAACTTCGGCAATATGATGCGAAAATGTCACAGAGGAGTGTACAAAGCTCGCTCTATAAGCTCAATCGAGCGGTCCTTCATGGTCTCTCTAGCGGTGTATGCTCTTGGATAGATTTGAGACTGTTTTTCATTCAAGTGCCAAATGTCCTATAATCACCTCCCACTAATTGTATTGTCGTTCATGAATTTGAGTTTTGTTATTTACTAAACGACCTTTATTCCGGACCTATAAATATGATGAGCCTTTTCCACTGCTAGGTTAAGCCTTTTTTGAGATTTCTAAGAAAGAAAACAAATCTTCTACCTTGAGAACTTCCACCACTTAGCAAGATCCATAAACCTAAAGGCTATGACTAAAGATTCTAGCCAACCTCACAACTTGGTGTTAAAGATATTGATGGTTTAGAACCAAATCCATTGGTGTGTGTATACCAGGAATCCTTGGCATGCCAATGATTGCTTGATGTCTAAACAAACTGTGCAATTGAGAGGTCCAAGTGAAGGTACACTAGTCGTCGAAGGAGGGTCTTTGGCTGAGAGACAACAAGGAAAGGAGCCTTAGCTATGGTATTGGTTAAGGTATAAGACCCAAGTACTTGTATGTTGACTTAGTGAGTAGTGGATCCCAAGTGATTCCCGCATTTTTTCCTGAGGAGGGTTTTCCACGTCAACAAATCACTTATGTTGTTATTATTTATAATATACACTTGTGATTGTTAGCACACACACACACACTATGTATTTGTTGGAATGATTGTTTGACTATCTATCCATACATAGTTGTGCAATTTGGTTTTGGGATTTGGGGTCAACGTGAGATTGATTGTGAGTGAATTAATTGAAGATTAATTAAAATCAATCGTCATGTGTGAAATCAGTTGTGGTGACTAAAGGAGTTCTCACATTAATTGCTATATCTTTGCGAGAAGCGGTAATTGTGGTCATTTAGGTTTTTATTGGTAATCAATTGAGCTAAAATTGAAAAACCTATTCACTCATCCTCTAGGTAAAGTGTCTATAGATCCACGTGCATAATCATAAGGGAAGATCCACATTGAATTTTTCCTCCTAGAACAACAGTTTTTAATAAAAAGTCTAAGCGTCATTATGGAACAATCCTAAATCCATTTATTAAACCTAAGTAGCCAAAGAAAAAATACCATGGATAACTTAAGATCTTCTGGTCAAATACCTTTTCTAAGCTTTGAAGAATCTTAGGAAGTCTTCATAGTGTGACTTTGTAGTTTGGACTTCATCTTTTGCCTTGCTTTGGATTTTCATCTTTGTAGCATCATGACCATGGATGTAGTTGATATTTACATTGTGACCTCACAAATTAGCCATTTACAATAATTAATTTTCTAAAAATCTTCCCATTTGGAAATTCCATGAAAAATACAAGAATACCAAATTTAATTATTACAACTCAAAAACCACGACAGCATCTTTGAAGCATCAGACACCTCTATACCATAACTCAACCAAAAACCTCGTGAAAAGCATCATATATACCATAGACATAGGTATGGAGAATGAAAGCACTAAAGGCAACAAAGTAAGTATATATATCTAAGCAACATGCAAAAACAATCTATGCAAACATGTGTAACCAAAACAATCTCACTTGTGCTCGAGAACTTCTAGATTCAACAATGAATGTTCTCTAATCTAGTTCTTCCACTTAGTGATTTACAAAAACTAATATGTTAAAAAAACAAGTTTAAAATCTATAAATAAAAAATCAACAAAACAAAACAAATGCAACTTTATGCCAAGTTTTCAAAATTTACTCACCTCTAGTAATTATACCACTATGCTCCCCGTTCCTTTCATCTCATTTTAACATTCTCCCTCAAGCTTTCCTAAATTTCTTCCAAATTCTCCCCCCTTTTTTGTTACAAAGGCACAATGACAAAGACAATGCAAGGAATCATTACAAGAAATGTAGATAAGTTAAAAACCATACATAAAACATACAAGAATAAAAGTAGATAATCTAAATTAGATAGTATAGTGGCTCAGAATATTCGTTACAAACAAAGAAAACATAAGGATTACACAGCCAAGACTCATTGAGATGAAAAGAAAACACTCAAGCTCCTATGATATCCTTGGCTAGTTATCCTAACAAGAAATAGCATCTCCGGCTGTATCTTTGGCTCCACCATAATCACCATCTCTAGGACGACCCTCATGCTTCTCAATGTCATTTGAATTAGGGTTCCCAACCTTCTTCTTGCCTTAAACATCTTCTTGAGTCTCCCCAAATGATCTCCAATAGTCCCCAAAGTCCTCTCATGCACTTTGTCAACACTCAAACCCCAGGAATCAATCAAGGCCAACCTATGTAAAGTGAGGTTGTGTTGTTTATCCATAGGCCAATGAATCCGCGTGAGCAACTAGCCAGACAGAGAATTGAAACTAAACTCTAGTGGTGATGTAGTGCAAGTACTGACATGAATATCAACAGTTGGTGGCAGTGTCGCAGTTGTAAAAATGGGGCAAAATTTTAATTTTTTTGAAAAAGGGCAAAGCAGTAATTAGTCACTATGGTACGGGTTGAAAACCTATTTTTTTTATAGAACTCGAATAATTAAACAGACCTCACCGTTGAATTCGTCTCGCAAAATCTAATTATCTAGTTAATTTTCATAGAATTCTGAGAGAGTCATTTTTTTGCATTTTACGAGGCAAACGGGTGTCACGTGACCAAAATAAACGTGAACGGGAATTTATTTGCGAAACATGAAAAATATTTTAAAGTAAGTGCAAATAAAAATATATTGAACTTGAAACGGGACGAGATTTAATTGATTTTGGGACGAAATCGGACTCGAAAAAGGCAGACGTGTGGCACAATTAGAGCCAAGTATATGGCGAGTATAAAAAGGGGGGGAAATCAGATTTTTTCCCCATTTCTGAGCCTTGTATTTTCGGAAAAGAGAAGGGAAGGGAAAAGAGGAAAAATGAAGGATTCTTCAACATTCTCTCTAGGATCTACGGCTCTCCGTTCATCGAATCGCCTTGGGCCAAGGACAAAGATTGTTCTACTCGATGTGGGCTATAAAACCATACCAAAGAAACAGAATTTTGACAAAATCTGAAATACGGAATTTTTGAAAATCAAGGCTCGACGCTTGGTTTGAATTCTTGGGAGCTTCCTACTATGCGTATTACGCTTCAAGATGTAGGGTTCTTTTCTTAGTTAGGTTTATTTTCAACCTAAGCTAAAATATGAAATGGGCAGAGTGCTAGAGATGTAATATGTTGTATGACACATACCTATTGTGGTTGAAATGTGAAAAGTGGGTTTAATAGTGGTTAAAATCAATTTTTTCCTGAATTAGTTTGTTGAAAGTACTTGTTTGGTAATTTCATGAGAAATGTAATGGATAGGGCATATTATGTGTTTACATGATTATGTGATATAAAGGTGTTTGATAAAATGCCTAAGTTTATTTAGCATGGTTATTCCATTGAAAATGCTATAACATGCTGGGTGAGAATATAGATTATAATTTATATGCATATGATATAAACTAACAATTGGGAATATTGTTGAGATGGAATGTAGTTCATATTGTGCTCATGACATGTTGGACATGATGTTGATATTGCAATTGAAAACTTAGTTGTATAATGATATTAAATGCAATGGTACATTATATTGTATATGCATTGGTAGCATCACATTCGTGGGCATACGACATGAGTGTGGGTGTGTGTGCATGGTTTAGATCAAATACAATTCTTGGTGAATGATTCGTGGACTTGAAAAAATTGGACCAAGGTTCGACTAAGTCACATGGGTTTGCATTGAAAATAGGGTCGGGGTTAGCAAGAAGGGCTAGACTATCCCTTGGATGCAAGACCTGGTGATTCGGATACGCCCTATGTTGGTATTGAGTCCATAAAAATGTGTCGACGTATGCAAAGCCATTGGTGAAATTCTATAAAATCGTGTCGATTAGGTGCCCATTGGTGTAAGTCCATATATACCCATCCCAAGAAAGACTCGGGATTTATAATAGTCATTGGATGTGCAACATCAATTACGGGGGCTTGAAATGTCCGAATTCATACACATGGCATTGCGTGTGTGATATGGGAGCCGACAAAGGCTGGGGTTGTGTTGCATGTGTGAGTCTAATCTCATTACATGGCATGACATAGAGTATTCCAATATGAATTGCATATTCCTAAATGGATTGTTTGTTGATTGTTGAATTGCATGTGAGCATTTCATATGCATCTAGATTGGGGAGTAGCCTCTTCAGGAGATACCCTATTGAGTGTGGCTTACCCTTTATGGGGACAACATTTCAGGTGCAGGACAAGCGCCAGTGGATGGCGCTCTCACTTGGGCCCTCATAGATGAAAAAACCAAGTTGTGTCTTTAAACTACATTTTTGTAAAACAAGTGTGTAGTTATTTTTTTTATAAGGATTGTAAAATGAATTCATATAAAATTTGTTGTGTAAAATTTAATGTTATATTGATTTGCACAAAATATTGCACATCATGTATACATTTGCACCCCTTGTTATACTTGCTTTTGTGGTGAAAATGGAAGGAATTGCAATATTTCTAACAATTAATGAGGTTTTAGTGTGTTTGTAGGCAAAGAGTTGAAAATGACATGAGTTAAGCCCCCATCGTAGTGCTCAAAGTCAATGGAGATGAATGAGAGGCTTGACTATGGAGTGGAAGATGAAAATACCAAGATTTGAGCAAAAACAAGTAAAAAACTACCGGTAGGTTTGCTTATAATACTATCGGTAGGTTTTGTGTACTAGAGTTGGACCTACTGCAAATCTTTTAAAAGGTTTTGGCTATTGGAGTAAAACCTACCAGTATGTTTGGCCATTGAACTACCGGTAGGTTTTGCCGAAAAAATGCCTGAACTCTGCAACTCAACTCCAACTGCTTGAGGGGCCCATCTACCATGACATGTTCTACCTGCAACCTTGTTATTCTTACACAAAATTATGACTATAGAAGAGAAGGCATGGGAGAAGAGGAGAGAGAAAGGAGAGAAGGCTGGTCAAGGTGCAGGGGAGTACAGGGCATGCTTGCACGTTGCTTTTACAGGCTTCCAAACCTCCCTAAATCATTGAATCTCTACAGCACATGGACCATATGATCCATGGATGAAAATTACACTAGACTCTTCACATTACACAGCATAGTTCAGCACTTTAAAATTACACAGCATAGAGAGAGAAGCTCCCAAGGTGGAAGATAGAGTTTTAGAGAGAGAAAGCTTAGATTGTTGCTTTTTCTTCACCCATTTCCTTTGTAGTAAGTTATATTTCACTTGTAATCTTTATTTCTTGCATTGTAATCTCATTTATTTCAAGTGTAACAAAGTTTAATCAATTGTTCTTGCACTTCATTATTTTTGTTGGGTTTCTCTACAACTTTTCCATTTTGGTATGCAATGAATTTCTTTTTGTAGTGTTCTTCTTCTCAGCTTTAATATATTTTCTAAGCTTCATTCTCATCTCATTTTCATTTCCATTTCATCTATGTCTCTTTACATTATGAATGTTTTTACTTCAACTATGAATAGCTAAACTTTATGTTAGCTAATCCAAGGTGAACTTCCTCTAGGGTATGCTAAATCAACTCTTCTCCATTCTACCTCATAGTGTAAAGTGCTTGGTTTGATTAGGTTGAGTGAGGACATAGTTGTGAGCTCTTGATACATTGTAGACTTGTCACGGGGTATGCTTGAGTCTACTTTCCACATTAGTCCCTCTTCATACAAATCAATCACGCACCTAGGCGCCATTGCTTGAATGAATTGAATTGATTTGGCATTCCCAGTAGAATGACCTCTTTGGATTAGCCAGCCTTGTTTTTATTGCATTTCTACAACCAATCTTCACTCACCAAAACACCAATTCACAAGATTTTTACACTTTTTCTTTTTACCTAATCACCTTCACCACAATTCAAGCTTCCTTACCAGAGGAAATGACCTTGGAATACTTAATTCCAAATAAAACATGACACTCAAAAGTCTCTCTATGATTGGGGAGTACTTTTGTACACACACACATTTTCATCCACACACACGTTCACCCCATTTCTAGCATCACACCTAAGGGAGAGTGACACTCATCTATCCGTATAAGCCATACAGACATAATCAGGATGATGGTTGAAGATTAGGGTCGACGGAATAAACCAAGCATTTTTGGCGCCGTTGCTGGGGAAGGAAAATCGTAGAATTAGAAGATGATTTTCAGACAACGGAGGTAAGTCTCGTGATTTTCATCATAGGCCTAGATACATTGCCCCTTGTACATATGTTTGTTTACTTTTCTTTTTATTTGTAGACATAGTTTTGTATGTAGGGATGGGACGACCAAAATAGATTGGTTAGACGATCCTTAGGCCCCAACATGAATCTTGGCCAAGACCCAACCGTGGATGCCGGTGTTAATTTTGATGATGTTGGTGCTAGTGTCCCAAAGGGTGGGGGAGTGCAAGACCCTAGAATTCCAAACCCTAGAATACACTTTCCTCCTAGGAATGAAGGAAACAATATTCTAATTGATCCTCCGACGAGGTCACTGCAGGATTATCTCCAACCCACTTGTAACACCACTCCCTCATGCATTCTTTTACCAGTTCAAGCTCATGCCTTCCTAGTTAAGTCGGGAATGTTACAACTACTTCCTCAATTCCATGGAATTGAAAGAGAAAATCCTTATTTGCACATTAAGGAATTTGAGGAATAGTCACAACCTTCCTCACTAATCATGGCATGGAAGACATATCTCGTATAAAATTGTTCCCCTTCTCCCTAAAAGATAAGGCTAAAACTTGGTTGAATTCCTTGAAATCTCGATCAATAATATTTTAGACACAAATGCTTTCCGATTTTTTGAACAATTATTTTTCGGTGCCTAAAACCACCGCTCTTAAAAAGAAAATTCAATATTTTCAGAAAAGCCCAATGAGCAATTTTACAAATGTTAGGATCAATACAAGGAATTGCTACAATCCATTCCACACCATGGCTTTGAACCATGGCAATTGATGAGTTTCTTCTATGAAGGGATTATACCGAGCCATCGATAGTTTATAGACATGATGTGCAATGGGGAGTTTTTAAACAAGGATCCTGATGAGGCCCTAGAGTACTTCAATACATTGGTACAAAATGCACAATCTTGGGATATTATGGATCCCACCGATGTACCTAGGTCTTCTCTGGGTAATAATTAACCAAGTGGGAGAGGGATATACAGTTTAAGGGAACAGGAAAACTTGTTTTCCAAAATCACCAAATTGTCTCGAAAAGTGGAAAGTCTTGAGGTCAATATGAGACA